GTTTTGCGTGGCAAGAGAACTGAGGGCTCGTAGATGTTCATCGACAAAGTGATGTAGCGGAATATGAAAGGTAAAAGTAACGTATCTGTCGAGCTTGATGCTAATAAACTTGGCGTGACAGAATCGTCTTGATGTCGAAGATTTCCCCGACATTGAGAGACTGACAAAGTGATGTAGCGGAATATGAAAGGTAAAAGTAACGTATCTGTCGAGCTTGATGCTAATAAACTTGGCGTGACAGAATCGTCTTGATGTCGAAGATTTCCCCGACATTGAGAGACTGACAAAGTGATGTAGCGAAATATGAAAGGTGAAAGTAACGTATCTGTCGAGCTTGATGCTAATAAACTTGGCGTGACAGAATCGTCTTGATGTCGAAGATTTCCCCGACATTGAGAGACTCTGGGCGGAAATGCATCTAGACCCCTCAACGTCGGAAAAAACGTCTTGCATCAGCCGGGAGGCAGCAACAGAGCAGGTTCTCACGTGCAGTGAGTGTGCCCAATGCCAGCCAGCCAAAACTACTTGTGCATTCTTATTCTCTGAACCCTATTAAGCGCCGCATTGGCCTGTGCACCTCGTGGAATCCTGCTCGGCTGTGGACCACGAGCATTTTTCAAAGCTTGACTAAAGCTTTTTGATCGCATACACCAGTACAAAACTTGCTAACACGTCGCGAAGTTCTAGTTGCAACAAACTTTGCTAGAGATTTCTGTGAACTCTGACTTGCAGCCGAGTCGCATTTGACGAACGAATTGTTCCGAGTGTCTGTCGGCTAAATCACGCCATAGACGCTCACAACCTCTCAGAAGGATGCTCGTCTAAATGCTGCTATGCTGTGATACAATAATTGCAGTATGAGACATTTTACGGCTTTCAACGCGAATCATGTGAGGTTGTTCTCTATTCCATCATAGAAATGGAGAATTTGCAGCAGGAAAATCGCCAAATTCGCAGCAAATTCTGGCTTGGAGATCTTGCTCATCGTCGGGTAAGCCCGTGGCAGCAAGCTATCCCTGCATGCCTCTCTGCCTATGTGAGCCCGGTGTACTCATCACGAAGGCGGCGACAAAGCAGCAAACAGTCTTGCCGAGGGACAACTGCTGAGAGATTGGCCGAGCCCTGCATAAGACGTCTAACGCGGCACGGCAGAATCGCACTGCTACAGTTGAAGCTGGAGATGGCGAAAGGAAGATTTTGGACGCCATGCGAGAAGTCCGACTTGGCAGTAGTCGGAATAAGTGTGTATTCGTACTTGTCGATCTGGCGAAAAAAAAAAATTACATTACGCTGCGAGTGTGTGAAGATGAAGCAAGCTTAAATCGTCCTGTTGAATTCCATGCGCGTGGACGTGGAGTGGTAGTAAGATCTTGTCATGAACCAAGACCGAGAGAAAAGAGGAGATTGGGACAGTAAAGTTACCGCTGTAAGCCTGTTTATCGATTGGCCCAGTTCATTTGTAGGCGTTTTGAGGCTTGAGGATTACATTTGCGATGTAACGACGCGCAGTACATCAAGGAAGGGGCTTGCGCCACCACCCAGACCAGCTATGAGACCAAGACGTATTACATACATCGTCGTTTGCATAGTCTGAGCTCGAGCATGCGTCGGTGAGGGAACATAACTGAACATGTGGCCACGGAGAGAGGTGCCACCGATGCGTCATATCAGGCATCGGGCTTCTTGCAGATCAGCGAGGATCAGCATCGAGGCTGCACAATCCCGCTGGCGAGCCAGCCGGCTTTGACCTCGCCTCCTGCTTACCAGTGAGCGCATCCGTCCAGTGACAGGCCTCCAGACATGGCAAGCACAATTCTTACGAGAGGTAGAGGCGTGTTCGGTTTTGTGGGCAAGTTCGCCTAGATTTGGAGTGAATCTACTTGCGCGCTCGGCTCGCACCGTTGCATATTCAGAAGCGATCGAGACCTGAACGAAATAAAGTATCATTCGTGTCTCAGCGAGCCTGGGCCGGAAAATGTTGGTTGAGTATCAGCGCCCTGCGTGGTGACACGCCTTTCAGAAACCTTCGGTAGCTGGCTCGATTCGGCGGAAGAGGCCCTAATCACTCAGAGTCGTAATTGTGAATGCAGGCTCGCAATGAGTGAAGCCATTCTGCACGTATGCGAAGTGGCATGAAGCGCTGCTCCGCTTTGAGGGCAATCGCAAATGTGCTTGCTATGGCAGGTGAAGCCTTGAACAGCAATCTAAAGTACCTCTTAATCTAAAACCCATGTGCGCTATGACTTCTGGCGAAATGTGGTGCAGACGTGCCCCAGGGGTGATTACGGGGGAGAGGCCTGTTTGTGGCGAAATGCTGAGCCGACAATTGATGTCCACACAGACACCTAAAATGGACTTGTTGCTAATCATCTCGTCACTCGCTTAGCTTCCCGTGGCTGTCCCGTGGATGCGGGACACAAGGGACTGAGCACATTGCGAGAAAAGTGTGCTTTGAGAGCTAAAGCTAGCGACGGGCTTGCTGGCCGGAAATCCATTCTGAGAGTCACAATAGAGCTCAACAAAAGAGGAAAAGGTCTGGCCGGTAGCATGCAATCCACGTGATTTCTACGGTAACAACTTGGACTCGCCCGGCACAGCGGCATCACGATACACCTTCAGAGGCACAGGTATGTTTCCCGAATAGCCGACATCGCCCTGAGCAGCCTCGAGTTTCCTCACGACCTTTCCGACCACAGAGGCTATCCAGGTATCATTGGCAGCCGCATTGACGGTGGCCTTCTTGACTCCCTCCTTGATTCCCGTATTGACTAGCTTTGTAAAGTCCTTGAAGGAGCGCACTTGGCTTTCAGCCACCTCTTCGTATGCTCTTTCAAACTCGATCACTTTGCTTGCCTTCACGAGGGTTGTGATGAAGTTGAGCAAGTCCTGGTCGAAACAAGCGGGTAGCTTGATGTGTACCGAAATGCCAACGTCTGCCTCATCCTTGATATTCTGTTGCAAATTTCTCTTGGCTTGCACCACCTTGGGTGCCGAGTCATGGCGCCGGATTTTGAGCCTATGTGCTTCTTGCGCTTGTTTGCGTTCGTCGATCGTTGGCAAAAGGTGATCGTGGTGAGGCAGCAGCATGGAGGGCACCAGCACAGTGGCGTCTGCTCCTCCTAATTGCAAGCTTTTCTTCAAGCTAGCGTGAGCTTGTACCGTCCTGTAAAGCGTGAGCTCGTCGATGTTCATTCTGCAGGTAATGTCATTGTCCGTATTGACCGGGACCAGCCCTTGCCCATCAAATTGTTCCAGACCCAACACAAAGTTGGCGTCGCACAGCCACTTCTCGATCTTGTCCCGGAGCTTGCGAATGTCAGACGAACTGTCTGCATAGCTTTTGAAGAGCTGAGACCGCAGCATGCTCTGCATCCACCTTCCTGAAGCTCCTGCAGTGATCGAGTCGATTTTGATGGGATGGAAGTATGCAAGAGGGTTCAACAAGAGCCGCAAAAGCAGAGGCAAGCGGTGCGTCAAGCGAAGAAGCCAGGGAGGCGGTAGATTTTGCAGTGTAGACACACGAACCGACTGACGCGGTGGGTGTTGGATGGAAGGTCTGGCGTGAAGACGCGTACAGATAGCAGCGCGCATGTGCCTGTCGTTGTCGAGGTTCAACGGAGGTTGCGAGGGTGAAGCAGCAGGGTCATGCTGCACTGGCACCTCTACGCCGAGAACGTCGTCCTGCTCTGCATCGATCTGCTGTCGACTCCTCAATCGGCTGATCCGTCTGATGACGTGGTCCTGTGCAATCTTCACCTCGCTGGTCTTTTCGATTTCGCTCAAGATGCGCTGCAAACGAGCCTGGTCATCCTTCTCATCAGCTATCAAAGTGGTAGCAGCATCAAGACCATGCTCGACGCTGACCGCACGCGGCGCCTGGCCATCCGTCATTCTTTCCGCTAGCGTCACCTTGCTGAGAGAAGGGGAAGATGCACTTGCGCGGGGATCGGAGGCAGACGAAGCGTCTTCCATTGGACGCTCTCGCTGAGAGGTCGGTAGCCCATTTGCTGCGCTGGGTCGAGCTGGTAGTGGAGGGACACTGCCGGGCGAGTGCATTCCATCTGCATTGGAAGACGTTGGCGTGGGTGTGGGCGATGGGGACAGCGCAGCAGGATCGGGAGCGCCCTCTGCAGCACCGGCGGCTGCCCTGAGTAGAGCTGATGATTGGTGATCCATGAGCACCTGACCGTCCGCCGTTCTGGTGTCATCCTCCAGCTCGCCAAATGTCTGCTCGTACTGCCCGCCCTTGACATTGGCGAAGACATCGGACACGTGAATGCTCCTAAACAGCTTGACCGTCACCTTGTCCGTCTGTATGGCCATCTCCAAATCGTCCGACAGCTTGATTCCCACCTCGATGCCATGCGCTACCAGCGTCAAGGAAGAGAGGGAGAGGGTGACGCCTCGAATGACCATCAAGCCTGCCACATCCACATCGATCTCCAGCGCTGGCAAGTCGAATAGGGCGACGGTATCCGCTGCAAAGTGAACCACGCGGAGCAGCTTGCTCAAACCTCTCCTCGTGTGGTGCGCCACCGTTTGGAATTGATGCAGACTGGCCAAGAATACCAGGGGCCAGCAGAGGGCGGTGAAGATGCCGGCAAAGAGCCAAGATGTGGAGGATGCTGCTTGGGTGAGGTTGAGCAGGGTGAGGAGCAGCCATGTTGGGCACCAAGGCAGCATGCGATTGCCCCCATTCACACCCTTGAGCAGCAAAAAGGTCAAGGGGGCAGAGCCGGATGAGAGCCAAGTGCTGGCCCACGTGGAGCCTGTCAGCGCTTTGGCGATCAGCAGCGCCAACAATGCTTCCGGCCAGAATGGCGTCTTGTTTGCCGGTCCGCCGAGAACCATCTTGAGCGTCAGTCAGCAAGTGCAAAGCCGCAGAGTAGTCAATCGTCGTGAGGGTGATGTACGCCTGGCACACCTCGACGTTGAGAGCAGCAGCGATGCGTTGGTGGTGGTGGGGGTGGTGGTGGGCGTGGGCGTGGGCCAAAGGGCAGCAGGCCATACCATGCCAGATCCATTTCAGGACTGACCGCGACTCGAGACTTCGATCGAGAGCACAACGTGAATCCCAAATCACTCACCACTCACACTCTCGATCACAATCACTGAATGCAACAGCCGCTGAAGCTCAGGTCGCGCCGTAAGGGTACGCCCGCTGTCATGCGTGGA